ATAGATAGATAGATAGATAGATAGATAGATAGATAGATAGATAGATAGATAGATAGATAGATAGATAGATAGATAGATAGATAGATAGATAGATAGATAGATAGATAGATAGATAGATAGATAGATAGATAGATAGATAGATAGATAGATAGATAGATAGATAGATAGATAGATAGATAGATAGATAGATAGATAGATAGATAGATAGATAGATAGATAGATAGATAGATAGATAGATAGATAGATAGATAGATAGATAGATAGATAGATAGATAGATAGATAGATAGATAGATAGATAGATAGATAGATAGATAGATAGATAGATAGATAGATAGATAGATAGATAGATAGATAGATAGATAGATAGATAGATAGATAGATAGATAGATAGATAGATAGATAGATAGATAGATAGATAGATAGATAGATAGATAGATAGATAGATAGATAGATAGATAGATAGATAGATAGATAGATAGATAGATAGATAGATAGTGTTTTTTCCCAGTGGGGGTTCCACTAATAATAACCACTGATATCCTGGGTGAATATCAAATTCAGAACTTCAAGGTAATGACTGTATCACAAATAGGTCAGTAAATTGACTTGGGATAAGTCACGTTCAAGACTTAAATTAATTCAATGTTCAGTACTACGATTCTAGAATAATAACAATCATTACTGTTTTACTTTTGATATAAATGAACTTAATTAATCTTAATGTATCTCCACATTTGGTGGAATCCATCCCGAAGTCACGAATGACTATGTAAACATATTTTTGTTAAGAGTTTGTATAAAGATTGGTTTTTTTCTTCTAGTTCAATAGTTAGAAATAGCTACAAGTACAAGTGGAATTCTCAACACAAGGTATTTGGACAAGTTCCCTTTTCTTAATTCTTGAGCAATCCTGACGATAAATATTGAGTGATCATCAGTTAGATATTAGAATTACAGAAGTCGACATCTGAATAATATTCATTCATTTCAATGCATATTGCCAGTCATCACGATGTTTCCTATTGTACAATTTTGTAACTTGTACAATGAAAGATTGTAAACTTTTGATAAAAGCGCCCGAATAGGTTAACATAATAATATGTTAAAACAAGCAAAAACATATAGCTTGTTAAAATATCTAGATGGTAGGAACAAGTAGCCCAGATATTACAACAGGCCGCTATCGGATAGATGTACACAAATATTTGATTATGTTCAACAAACGAAATGTAAATATTTCTTTAACATTGTTCATTGCAATCTAAGTTAATTGTAATATAAATGAATAAATTAGTATGACCGCATTCATTTACCGGCCATTTATTAACACACACACACACACACAGAGAGAGAGGAGCACGCACATATACATACATTGATACATATATACGCATAAATACACCTTAAAGTGAACAGTTACACATAGAGTTACCATTACATGACTGATCATATTTGAGTTGACACGAAAATTTGTGTCAAATATGTTATGTTAAGTTATATACATATACATAATCACATACATTTAGTTCCTTCCGTTCAATTTTCGATCTTGATTTCATTTAATGATAACAGAATGACAGGCAGTTTTATCTTTATTTTTTTAAAAAAAAGGGAAGGAATATGGAACATTGTTGATATTCCTCTTCACTATATCTCACTCTCTTTACAACCACCCCACCTACCAACACCAACACCACCACCACCACCTCACTTTCGTTCTGTTACTTGTTTCATGTATCTAATGTAGAACTAATTACAACCTTTTCATTCACCTTTTTATTTTCTTCTTTATATTTGATTTAGTTCAAAACAAAATTTTATTTAACATTCAGTTTATTCAATGTTAAGAATAATTGTAGATTATCATTAATGGATAACTATTTATAGCAGGAATAATTTCTATGGGTTACTTAAACATCGATATTATTATGTAAATGATCTTTTAAGGGTGTCGATTCGTTGAAGATTATTCACGAACTATTATTAGGTGTAGTTTTCCATGTGTACAACGTCTTAATAAACAGTTACAATCATCTGAATGATATAGGAACTATATATTAAATACTTTATTTGTAAATCTTTCATTAATTATGATGATTCTTCCACTTCATAATTCTTATCTACTTACCTTTCTATTTTCTTCAATTTGATCTTCTTAGCCTACGTCTGTCAGGCATTCTACTTCTAATTAGTGTCATATACTACTTATGTCGACAGATATAAGTAAGATACACCATACTGTATGTTGTTGTCACAGTTCAGTATATAATTTATCTATTCAGTATACTTAGGAGGTTAACAGAGATTGTTGAATTTTATAGTAAATATTCTAAATTGAACTTAGATAATCAATGAGAATATCATGAAAAGTATTAGAAGTACATATATCCCATTTTAGTTGGAATAAAACATTGACTAGAATCCATTGAAGATAATATGACAAAGAATAAGAAGTTTGATCTTCAAAGATCTCACAATAAAAAAAAACCCCTTTGAATAAATATTAAATGATCACAAGTTTATAGTTCTGTATATCATTAGTTTTGTTATTCGAATGATTCTGTCCATTGATATATACGTATATTTCACAGGTTGAAATCATGAGTCAGTTGAAGCTAGACCACCATTGAAAACCTGGAAGCACTGGACGGCCGTTTCGTCCTAGTATGGGACTCCTCAGCAGTACGCATCCACGAACCCGCTCCCTGCGGGATTCGAACCGAGGACCTACTGGCCAGTAGGGTTCGTGGATGCGCACTGCTGAGGAGTCCCATACTAGGACGAAACGGCCGTCCAGCGCTTCCAGGTTTTCAATGGTGGTCTAGCTTCAACTGACTCATGATTTCAACCTGTGAAATTTACTAAAATCTCCACAAAACTCATTCTGATAATATACGTATATCTTATGTTGGATACTTAAGACATTCTAAACTTGTTGATTACTGTTTTGTTAGTAAAAGATATTTTCGTTTGGTTCCGTATGAAATTGTAGGTTATAATCAGTTTTACATTTTTTGTATACCTATGGAAACCAGAACATTCTATTGATCTACTCTATATGAAAAAATATACTAGGAAAGTTCGGTTTCGAATAAAGACAAGTTTAATATTTCCCCTTTTTATTCCCTCTCCCTTATCCCTTACTGAAAATAAAGAACTTATTTTAAGTAGTAATTATTTTTTTTTGATACCTGTAATCACTAGTTATGTAATAAATAAATGTTCCAGTAATCAAAGATTTTTGTGATTAGGTGTGTGTGTGTGTGCGTGTGCTTGGTTGGTTGGTCAAGGTATAATGGATAATTACGCTGACATGATCTTTATGAACAAGTTAAATCGTTTCCAAATTTAGCAACAGTTTCAAAAAAAAATTATAAAGACTATAATTTTCTTGTATAGGGAATATATGCTCATATAGTTCATTATCATGCACAGTGATTATGACGTAATTTAAAGTGTTAACTATATATGTATATAGTGTAATTACCATAATCACTTTCATTGAAATAATAACAAAAGTTATGTCATCATTAATGTTTAAAGGTAAGAATTAACTTGACCCATTCTTAAAATGAACTAAATAGCTGAAATATCATGGACTAATCTTAACTGATGAACTAATGTAAACTTATGAAGCTTTGGAGAGCATGTTGTTGTCGGTATAAATTTGAATTAGATAAATCTATGAAATTTATAGTCCATGCGTTTAATCTCACCGGCCGAATTTTCAGGTATGAACTACTAGAGTACCTCTATCTAAAAGAAGAAAAAAAAACCTATTTAGTTCCTCATTATTTTAGAATAAGTCATCAATTCAGATTCATCCAATACATATACTCGACTGTCAATAGATGATGAATAGAAAGAATGGAAGCTTCATACATAGTGATATAGTGTATTATTAGTATGTAAAATCTGATTACTCCAGTATTTCAAGAGAACTACTATATATATATATATATATATATATATAAGCAATGATGACCACTTTGTAAGTGTGTACTTTACATCAAAAATGATCGGAAATCCAGATATTTTAGATTGTTTGGAAGTTAATGTTTATTATATATGTGTCTTTAACCATGGATATCGCTTACACAGTGTCATATAGTGTTTTGGACTGACATATTAATACTACTTTACTTTGACTACTGACAGATTTTCACCTCACTCTTTTTCAAAGCTAACTTAGTGATTAACTCATTAGGTTATCATTTCAAAATTCTTTTCAGAAGCAGATTGATTTCGTGACAAGACTATAATTTATGGATGAACCAATCAGATATAAAATAACAGGTCTCGGATTTTGGCGTGAAATCCATTCATTCATTTGGCTAAATAGAGTTTTGACATCATAGCTTATGTCTGTTCAAGATGAAAACCTTTAATTTAATTGCTAACTATAACCATAAACTGTAAATCAAAAATTTAATTCCTCACACTGGTTTATAACTCTCATTTCGTCTTAGTTATTAAGTGAACACTCTCAAAATCACTTCAGCGTTTCTCAAAGGTTATCCACCGGTTTCGCTGATCTCCATATAAATAAATTGTGTCTAAAAGTTTAGTATATAAATTTGTACTTGGTAAATGAATTACATTACTGTATTAAGTAGTAAAGAATGTATAGATGATGGATGAGTAGATATATGTTTTATTTGTGATCCATGAAATTAAAAGAAACAATTCATTGCATTATTAAGTAAGTGATGTATAAAATTGTAATTCCAATGATTAACATCATGAGTCAGTTGAAGCTAGACCACCATGGAAAACCTGGAAGCACTGGACGGCCGTTTCGTCTTATTGTGGGACTCCTCGTGGATGCGCACTGTTGGAGAGTCCCACAGTAGGACGAAACGGCCGTCCAGTGCTTCCAGGTTTTCCATGGTGGTCTAGCTTCAACTGACTCATGATGTTAATCATTGGAATTACTATAATATCCACAAAACCCATCTAGTATTAAATTGTATTGATTTTCCCTTTATTAAAATTGTAGAATGTTTCCAATGACAGCATTTCCATTGAATCCAGTGAATTGTGGACGATCATCAACAGATTTAATATGGCCTAATACTGAAGCATTACAGAATATTGGATCTGCATTGAATTGTGATAGTTTATCATATATTAATAATAATAATAATAATTCCTCATTGTCTAATCAAAATTCAATAAATAGTAATACATCATCAGCATTAATCACTAACTCTTCAAATTTCCTTTCCTCACGACCTAATTATACCTGTACTCTTAATCAAACTTATCGACTACAAGAAAATCGAATTCAAACAGGTTATTTAAATGAAGAATTATCAGATCAATGTAATGATAATATTGTTACTACTACCACCACCACCACCATCACCACAACTGCCACTCCTCCTCCTCCTCCTTCTAATTGTAGTAACAATAATAATGATAAATCTCATATAGATATCTCCAATAAATCATCTACATCTAATACAATGATGAAATCTGAAAGTTTACTACAATTAAATAAATTCCCTTCATCATTATGTAATACAATGAAATCAGATAATTCCAATTATGAGAATTGGTCAAATGATCATAGAAAACGTCATAAAAAATCTAAATTACATTCTATTATTCATACAGATAATAATTTTATTCATAATAAATCAACTATCAATCGTATATCAACAGAGGAAACATCACCTCATTCATTATATATAGATGAATCTATGAATGAAATGATATACAATAAGGCAACTTCATTAGAGAATGAGAAAAATCAATTACATTCATTAGAATCATCTACAATCAATCTTGTATCTAAGACAAAATTATCTAATTTAAAACAATTAACTAATGAATTATCAAATGAACAACAACCACAGCAGCAGCAGCAGCAACAACAACAACAACAACCACAGCAACAACAACAACAATTTAATTATTCATTTAATATGTTACCTACAAAAATGACTGATTATACAAATCAATTATTATGTAATGAATATAATGATAATCATTATAATAGTTTATCATTACAACAATACAGTAATAATAATCATTGTCCACAATCTATTCATCATGATAAATCCCAATTGAATAAAAATATTAAAGAATCACTAAATCATATTTTATCTACAAATTATTCATTAAAACATAATCATTCACAGAATACAATAAATTCAATGAATGAAGAAGGAGTTGATGATGATGAAGAAGAAGAACAAGTAGAAGGAGAACGAGAGGAAGAAGCATATAAAACAATGATTAATACAAGTAATCATAATGATAATGATATTGTTACAAATTCTATTTCTATCATGACTACTACATCAACGCCGACGTCGACGTCAACGACGGCGACGACGACGATGACGACTATGATTAATACAACTATTACTACAACTACAACAAATAGTATGATTAATATAGATAGAAGATTAAATGATCCATTAACACATTCTCATAATGAAATGAATACAGATACATGGAATACATCTATACCATCAGAATATTCAACAAATATATTACCACAACATTTAGCTTCATTCTATTCGACTTGTTCAAATGAGATTGCATTTAGAAAAAGTTTAATATTTAATAATCATCAAAATATGAATATAGAATCAACAAATTATTCCACATACAATAATAATAATAATAGTAGACAAGACTCAGAGTGTCGTACATCTTCATCACCATTACCTTCTATTATACAAACTAATATAGACTTGAATTCAAGTTCTATGTTAAATTGTAATGAGGTGGATAATTTTAATAAAATATCTTCGGATGAAATTAAATTCAATGTAAACACTAATAGTAATCATAATGAATTAAATGAAATGAATGCCAATTCAAAGTTCAACAATCCTATACAGCAACAACAATCTCAATCAAGGAGAATAATTAATGATTCATTAATACAGAATGATTTAGACACATGTAAGTCGATACATCATAATTCGAATCTCCCTCCTCCTCCTCCTCCACACCAACAACAACAACAGCAACAACATCAAAGACAAAGAGGATTTGAAGATGATCAAATGATTGATGATTTAAGTGTAGCATATCATTCAGCAGCAGCTATGGCAGCAGCAGCTGTTGTTGCACAAGCAGCTGTAGCAAGTGCGAATGTAACAAATCATCATTTGGAACATCAACATCATAATCATCGTCATGAACAATCAATACATCAACATCAACATTTACATTCACATCAAAATCAACATCAACAATCTCAATATCTTGATAATGAACATTCCATGTTACATACACATATGGAACAATATGGTGTACATACTAATAATAATGGTAATAATAATGATAATGTTTTACATCAATCACAGTATAATATGATGAATCAAAATTTAGGATTATTTCCTCTTATAAATAATACAAATTCATTGAATAATGCCCAGAATATAAATAAAACAATGAAAAATAAAAAATTAACAATGACAGGTCAGTAATTGATTTCTCTTATGTAATATCAGTTGCATAGGTAGATATTTAATCTTAATAGTTGAATTCATAAGGAATAGACACGCATGACGCTGATCGCCACCCAGTGAGCGATCAATTGTGATTACATCTCAGTCCTACAGGAGGTCGGTCGCGGCCAGGATAGCCCAGTGGTAACGTCTCTGACTGTGAAGCTGGGTGACACGAGATCGAATCCACCAGGGAGCACGAGTTCCCTCAAGATTACAGGTACACCTTGCTGACGAGTGTCAAGTAGCACGAAACCCGGGTCCAGGATTTCCTGTCGACTACCTCCAACCACCATCTGAATCTCAATACACAGTGCCCGCAGTGTCGAGTTACCTAGACTGGTGGCCACATTGCAACATGTTCGATAGCATTCGATCTGCACTAATAAGGACTAGACAAGCATGAGATTGATCACCACCCAGTGATCAATCAATTGTAATTCATGAGTCCATTTAAGCTAGATCATCATTGAATAGCTGGAAGCACTGAATGGTTATTGAGTCCTAGTTTTAAACTTTTCAGTGATGCACATCCATGATTCCGCATTCCAGATTCGATAATAATCAATAATGTAAGTTATTAAATCAATTTCGTTAGATTTAAAGATAGATACTTCGTACTGTTTGATATTTATCAACTGGATGCAAAATTTTCACAATTGGCTGTTTACACTAAGACTCAAGATCAGTATTTATTACGATGAACAATAACTTGTTCTCTATGAAGCTAATAGGTTCATATTATCTATGGATATATTCAATGAAGATGAAGTCATCTGTAATAGTTTATATTGTCTTCAACTGGATTTCTTTGATAGCAGTAATCCAAATATATTAGGTTTACTGAAAACAGAATTGTAGTATTATCACCTTCAAATTATGATTGGTACAAATTAAATAGCTCTTCAAAGATAGTTACATGGTTTACGTAATTAGATAATTCATCGCCGAATTACTGAAATTGTTATTCATGTTTAGAGAAAACAGTAATTAAGAGTTTCATACTTGATCATTTGAATGATGTTCGACATTAAATCTTACGACAATCTGGTCTTTCAATTCATCATATTTCTTGATACTTCCTTCATGGTTAACATAAACATTTTCTATACACGATTAAAGTCATCAATATTCTTCAATAATATTTACATTCCTATCAACATACCCATTGATTTCATCCAGTATCTTATTTGATGGACCAGAACGAATGATTTACGATTGTTTTTTTATCTTGTTCTCTATTTTCCAAATGATATATATAATCAACTAATACACGATATTACGCAACCATCTTGCATTGTCTCTATTGGGTAACTGTCCTAGGTTCAAGTCCTGTATGTAGGATTGTGAATGCTCACTACTGAGGTGTCATGTACAACGATGAAACGGCTATTCAATGCTTCTTGGTTTTTAATGAAAATCTAACTTACATCGACTCATGAATTCAAATAATAATTCTATAACGAAACAATTCAGTTTATTTGATAAATAATACCATAAGACGCACAATAAATAGATTAGTAGTCAAATACAACTATCTGTAACAAACTAATAATTTAGTTCATTATGTAAATTATAAACAATAAAGAAGGAAATATTCAATGGATAATTAATATCAGATGGGTCATGTGGATATTATACTAATTTCAATGGTTAAGATCATGAGTCAGTTGAAGCTAGACCACCATGGAAAACCTGAAAGCACTGGACAGCCGTTTCGTCCTATTGTGGGACTCCTCAGCAGTGTGCATCCACAAAACCGCTCGCGAGATCCGAACCCATTAACACTGTTGGATGCATGCTCAGTGGTTTAGTGGTTAAATGCTCGCGCGCGAAACCAGTAGGTCCTGGGTTCGAATCTCGCAGGTTAATAACTAACAAAATCATCATTTTCATTCCATTGCGGTGAATAATTGAAACTTCATTTTATTTATTCTGTGAAGATTTTAGGCGTTTATGAGATTTGCCTCTGAAATTTCTAGTTGAAATGATTTCTTTATTGATTTATTGAGTTATAGGTAAATATATTATTTTTTTTTATCATTAGCAACAAATAAAAATAAAACTAGTGGTGTTCAACCGCGTCTATTGTGAGATATTAACTCACTGAAGACAATGGTGGATGTGTCGTCCGATCTCGTGGATTGGTTGAAATTAGACATTAACACTGTTAAATGCCGGCCAGCTCAGTGGTCTAGTTGTAAAGGGCTCGTACGAAATCGGTAGGTCCTGTGTTCGAATCTCGCAAGGTGGGATATTGGGTGCGCACTACTGAGAAGTCCAACAATAGGACGAAACGGCCTTTCAGTGTTTCCAGGTTTTCCATGGTTGTCCAACTTCGATTGACTCATGATCTTAACTATTAGAATAAATCTTCATCTTTTGGGGCTCATGGATACACATTGTTTAAGAGTTCTGTATTAGAATGAAACAGGTATTTGATAATTCCTTGTTTTTATTATTCATTTATATACATTCAGTTCATAATGTAAAATATAAAATAATTATACTAATCAATGAGATTATATTGACGAATAGAGAATGATCATAATTTATTTCTTCATTAACAGAAGGAAGAGAATGTGTCAATTGTGGAGCAACTAGTACACCGTTATGGAGACGAGATGGACAAGGAAATTATTTATGCAATGCATGCGGCTTATATCAGAAAATGAATGGTCAAAATCGTCCATTAATTAAACCTAAACGAAGATTGGTAAGTTGTCATTTATGATACCTTTGTATGTTGATCATTATCGTTATTAATAAACAATATTCAGTCATACTGAAAATTATCAAAAGGGGATTTTGTGGAGAATGCACTAAGTTAATAATTGAGTTCATGGGTCAATTGAAGCTAGACCATCATGGAAAAACTGGAAGCACGGGGGGGCCGTTTCGTCCCATTGTGGGACTCTTCAGCAATGCGCATCCACAAACCCGCTTACGGGATCCGAACCCAGGGCCTTCATTCTTGCTCGCGAGTGGATTCCGGCTCAATGGTCTAGAAGTTAATCGTTCGCACGCGAGACCGGATGTTTTTATGTTCGAGTCCCACGCACGGGATCGTGGATGCGCACTGCTGAGGAGTCCTACAATAGAACAAAACGGCCATACACTGCTTCCAGGTTGTCAATGTTGGTCTAACATCATTCGGTTCATGATCCCAATCGAAAATTTAATAATCTCCACCACCCTATACTGATAATGGTCAGTTTCTAATCCAAACTATAAAATTCAACAATCTTTACAAAAACCCCCTTCAATGATAAACGATTTTTTGAAGATCTATATCACAACATGTTCCATATGGTATACCATTAAAATTAAATAAATCAATTAGATAGAAACATAATTCATTTGTGCATTCAACATTTAATCTAATTGTTGATTAACATTTTTTTAATTATTATTTTCAGTCAGCTATTTGGTATTCACCTTAACAACAGCGGTAATATTGTCCATCTATTATTATTTTATAGAATTCAATTTGGACATTTCATACAAAAGAAAACTACATGTAGCATTATCATAATTATAATAGATTAATGTAATAATAATAAAAATAATGGTTACTACCGTTATTTCACTGACATAATGTTTTCCCATATGGAATAGAAAGTAGTAAAATTTGATGGAATGCATATAAGAAATAATCTATGAAATATGATTGATTAAGTCATGTTTGGAAATAAGAATTGAATGTTTCTTGTTCTTGAAATAACCAACTTAATTATTTCCATAACAACGTATCGATTAATATTCTGTCTAGACTTCAATAATAAGTCTTGGATCATTTTTATTTATTTATTCGAAATATGATTCCCTTTTAGTTGTTTTAACTAGTTTAGAGAAAGTAGTGACTGGTAGAATTCATTGAAGTTGAGAGATTGACATAGATCATCGAGGATAATGACTGATAATTTTAATAGTTGAGATCATGAGTCAATTGAAGTTAGACAACCATGGAAACCTGGAAGCACTGGACGACCATTTCGTCCCATTACAGGACTCCTCAGTAGTGCACATTCACGAACCCACCTTACGAGATTCGAACCTAGGACCTGTCGGTCTTGCGAGCTAACGCTTAACCTATAGACCATTGAACTGTCCAAGATCCAACGGTGTTAATGTCTAATTTCAAATAATCCACGAAATTGGACAACACATTCACCATTGTCTTCAGTGAGTTACTATCTCACAACAGACCCGGTTGAACACTATTGATCACTTCTCACTAGAATTCCAGGAAATACCTCTTGAAGCCAGTCACTAATGAGCATATGTTGATTAGTATTCATTCAAGATCTCAACTATTGAAATTACTATAATATCCACAAAACTCCTTCGGACAGTAATGACTGATAGTTGATCAATTTTTTTTCTCTTTTTTAACTGATTAAAATTAAAATAATGAAACTCGATGAGTTCGGATTTGGTCAAAATGTATTAAGGTCCTATAAAACATATTGGGGTTATGTAGAAATTTCGATAAAGAGTATACAACTATAATGTAATAGTTAACTTGTATTCTTTTTCCAAAACTTCAATTAGTGATAAAAAACTAAACCTATAAGCGGTAGTGATTATAAATATAGATTGCCTATTAACTATGAGCACTAACAGGATCTCTAATAATTTCATATATAAAACAATTAACGTATTTCAATACCTCACTGTGTGGTATTACGATTATTATTATTAAATAAGAACTTTTGTCTAGATTTCATCGAATGGTTTCACGGTATTTGGGTGCTAAGTTGATGTAAGACATTAAAGAAGAAGAATGTTGTATTTGTAAAATCCCAGTGAATGAATATGAAGTAAATCCAACATTTCGCTTAGTAATTTGGTCCAAGCTTTTTTCAAGGTAACATCAAAATTATCGAATATAAATAGGTACGTAGTTCTTCGGTTTACTGTATACTGAATATGTCATCCAATCAGGGTTAACAATGTTTAAGTTAGGTATTTGCAGTATTATGTAAGAGATGACATGACATTATGACATTATTATTAGCTTTATTCAATATTATAATTTTGGTACAATACAGAATTCTCAGCGCAAAGTATTTCAACAAGTTTCCGTTTCTTTCTTCTTGGTCGGTCCTGGCGATAAATATTGAGGAATCGCCAGTTAGATGTTAGCACTTCAGTGAATGAAGAACTGAATAATGTACATTCTTTTCGTTGTACATTGCCAGCAACCATATTGTCTCTTGTTGAGTTTTCTGTAACTTTGACAACGAAAGGTTGTACACTTTTCAGAAACGCAGCAGAATAGGTTATGCGATTAGTAAACATAATGATATATTAAAACAAACAACAATAGATAACTTGTTGAAATATCTAGATGGCAGGAACAGGTAGCCCAGATGCTCAAGCAGGCCGCCCTGATGTGGTGTGAAACGAAAAGTGTTAAGATAACAGATTGTGTGTAGACGTGAGAAGAAAAAATTTCATTTACTATATATTGTCTTTGGTCGGTGAATATTAAGAACACATGTCTCTTACACATATAATACAAATACCTACGTCAAATATTATTAACATTGATTGGATGACCTATTCAGTATACAGTAAACCGAAGAACTACGTACCTATTTATATTCGATAATTTTGATGTTTGATTATATTTCCTTGAGATTGCCGGGCGAAACATTGGATTTACTTAAAATTCATTCTCTGAGATTTTACAAATACATTCTTCCTCTTTATTATTATTATTATTATTATTACTAGTAGTAGTAGTAGTAGTAGTAGTAGTAGTAGTAGTAGTAGTAGTAGTAGTAGTAGTAGTAGTAGTAGTAGTAGTAGTAGTAGTAATAGTAGTAGTAGTAGTAGTAGTAGTAGTAGTAGTAGTAGTAGTAGTAGTAGTAGTAGTAGTAGTAGTAGTAGTAGTAGTAGTAGTAGTAGTAGTAGTAGTAGTAGTTATAACACTTTCAACACCTAAATCACAAGTCCTAATCCTTATTTCACCACCTTCAATATAGATTGCTAAATACTTTCATTAGTCTTTACTAAGTTATTGAGTTCCATGACTCCATTTTAAGTAAGTATTTTCAATAACAAAAAATGACATATCATCTAATGAACCATTAAATCTAGAGCTCAATTCCCAACTCATCTCATTTCTAAATAAGGGCCTCTATCGAACCCTTTCTTTTATTTAAAAAACAACAACAACAACAACCCACTTCATTGAATATAATTCATGGTATTTTCCGCTTAATTTCCCCTTTAAACCATATTAGTTACTAAAAGTCAATAAATGATATTTACTAAAAAGATCTAAATCGATAAAATATGATAGTTAAAAGGAAAAAAAACAAAACAAGACAACAAGTTACATAATATAAATAAACAATCATATTTACGCATCATTGAAACATTTGACATGCGTCCATATATACATATATGTGTATTCATCATATACAATGTCATCTTTATTAAATAGGATGAAACGCGCATCTTGGATTCCACTACTAGCCACTATCCATCTTTGCTTATCAATATTACGCCTATTTAAAAAAAGATATTTTCAATAAAGAAGTATGAAGATATTAAAGTATCAATTGCTTGTTATTAAATATGACCATTTGTTGCCTTGTTGGATTAGTTGCTATGATCAACATGAAAAAAAAACGAGGAATATATATTAACCTAGACCTACTGATGATATTTCTATTATCATTACTAATTTAAGTAATGATAATGATGATAATAGTTATATTTATAGGATTAATGTCAAATGGGATATATATATTTGCATCAATTCTAAATATTTTACGGTGTTCATGGGATTGCGCAATTTAATATGTCGATTAAGAAGTAAATAACATTACCCTAGAAACTAATATGAAAATTTTAAGACATAAATTTATTGACAGATCTTTTTTTGACAAATTGTTACTACGATTGAGCAATTTCATGTTCAATAGAAAATGATTAAAACAAGGGTAAAGTTGTGCATTAAAAACCTGCTGACTTAATAAAACAAGATTATGGAATTAGTCTGTTTAAGGATATTGTTTTATCTAAGATTAGATTGATATCATGAATGGATCAATGTTAGACCACCATTGAAAACCTGGAAGCATTGGATGGTTGATTCGCCTTAGTATAGGAGTCCTCAGCTATGCGCATCCATGATCTCGCACACGCCAATCGAATTGAGGATCTTTGATCTCGCGCGTAAATGTCGAACCTCTAGATCAATGAGCTGGCATCCAATCGTGTTTATGTTTAACCTCAAATACTCTACGATATTGCGCGACCATTTTTTATTGTCTGACATGGATTCGCTCCACTGGTTACAGCCGTTCAATGCTTCCAGGTTTTCAATGATGGTCTATCATTCATCGATTCATGATCTCAATCAAAAACATAACAATCGCCACAATCTCACACTGAAAATAGTTATAATATATGTCAGTATTTAAACTGTATTATATTCAGTTGTCTACAAGACCTACTTACTTTGTAAATAAATGAATTAAACATACCATAAGAATAGCATGTCATTTTAGTCAGGATTCATTAGGGTGTTACAGTTTCATTTGAAACGATTGTATTTGTATGCTGTTAATATGGGATTAATGCATAAGTTGTCCTCTTATTGATTTGCTTTCTATTTTAAGAGTAGTTCAGTTGAGTTGATAGATGCAGTTATATTTTGGACAGATAAATCTCAGAAAATCTGTTTGGTAAAACTTCATTGTTCCGGCTTAACTAACTAATACAAAGTGTATTTATGATAATAATGGTAATAATAATAATTACAATGAAGTTTAGTTAATTGACCTTGATTACATTTTTATTTTACAGCAATCCTCTAGCAGACGTACTGGTACTATATGTTCCAATTGTCGTACAATAACAACTACATTATGGCGTCGAAATACAAATGGTGAACCTGTTTGTAATGCATGTGGACTTTATTTCAAACTGCATAATGTAAGTATACTATAAAGTCTATGTTTATATGTAACTTATGTGACTTGATGAAGGTGGACAAATCAAGGTCATTGTAATTGTAAAAAAAAAGCAGACTTGTACTTTGATCAATCTTTGTTGATGTATGTGGGTTCTTTAGGAATCCCCGTGATATAAACGTTCCATCACAAATTTTATGCGATAAATGGATTTATATTTGATCCTGAATATCAATGATGATATGTTTCAAACTCACAATAATAATGATTACAACAACATGCCTGTTAAATAAGTTAGTACCTACCGACACTCAGTAACTTAGTAGATAATCAGTTGATGTTCGAAGTGAAATGTACTTGGCTCGATACCGAATGCAAACATTCACACTGGGATGTGAGTGTAGCCATCTGACAGGTCCCAAATTAAATGAAATGTATGTTCTGGATTCCTCTGCTAGCCAAAATATATATCTTTTTTGATAGATTTGTACCCATTACTAAATTTACATAGTAATGAAGAGATGGTTGAACAACTACAGTAAGATATCCATTTGTAGTAATCAATATCATGTTAGATCATTCTAAACGCTGATTGAATTCTGTGGGTTACGTTTACTGTGTGACCAATAACTTAAGTAATTCGATGTAGGAGTAAACTTTATTTTACAACCAGCGGTTGATGGTGATGGTTGGTCTCTAAGTTTACTGTTCAATATCTGACTAATGTAATGTAAGACCTATAGGTGATGGTGAAGAATTCTAACTCGTTTAATTAATATCATCGTATTGGGAGCGAGACATGAGTATCTTTGGTTTAGTTGCATATTTGATTGTTAGTATACATTGACGTGAAGTCAAACACTAAACTGAAACACCCTCTTATTTAAAATCACTCTGCAACTTTCTACAAAATGTGATGAAATGTAATTTTAAAATAGAAACATTTCAACTCAAACCCATTCAACTAAACTTGTAATCAACATTAAAAAAGGATTTGAAAGTAAATTGCTTATCTAAAAACCGGGTTCTGTTTAATATAATGATACTATCTCCTAAGCTAAACATCCATCAGAAGCTAGGAAATAGTAAATAGCTGTTTCATCCTGGTATAAGACTGATGATCACTGTTCATCCATAATCTTACCACTGGGGACTGCTTCTACGGCTTTTAGTCTTGTACGTGAAATCTTGACCTCTAGACTAATTATCCACTGTCCATTAAGATTCCATAACCATCTTCCATTGTTTTCTGTTGGCAACTGCTTCATACCTAACAAGGTTGAACTCTAATATTCAATGCTTTTCACTTAAATTGCAGAATTAATCACCAGAGATTGTTTAATATATTTAAAGGGTTAACCAATACAATGCTATTTATTTTGGTAGCAAACTTATAAGCTTTTAATGTAAGATTTTTCATTCGAAGAGCTAGTTTTTTTGTTTTTACTAAGATATACTGATAACATTCAATAGCACGAATGATTGTCTTTATCCTAAAGTTTAGATTTAATAAACTCAGTTCAGTTTACAGTCATACTGATAGTTTTTCTAATCATAGTTCCTGTGATGCAATAGCTTAATGATTAAAGTGTTAGAATCATCTCCTTAGTCATAAGTTCAAACCTCACCTTATTTACTTTAATTTAAGTGACGTGGTAGTAGTATTATTAACCCTCGAATTCAGAGTTTGACTTATACTGAAGTATATAATGAATGAGTTAATTGCTTATTTATTTTTTTCATTAAGCTTCCTAGTATTGCTTATAGTTTTATAAGAGTTTTCCTTACTTACTTACTTACGCCTGTTACTCTTAAAGAAACATAGGTCGCCGACCAGCATTCTCCAATCCACTCTGTTCTGGGCTTTCCTTTCCAGTTCTAACCAATTTTTTTTCACTTTTCTCATGTCTATCTCCATTTCTCGTCGTAATGTGTTCTTTGGTCTTCGTCTTCTCCTTCTTTGACCATGAGGATTCCATGTGATGGCTTGCCTTGTGACGCAGTTGGGTGTTTTCCTTAATGTGTATCCTATCCACATCCAGTGCTTCTTTCTAAATTTCTTCCTTCACTGGGATCTGATTAAGAGTTTTCTTGAAATCATATTAATTATTAGGAGACTAAAGATTTCCTTTATTATTATTATTATTTTGAACCCGATAAGTAATCAGTTTGTTGCATATCTAAGACACTTCTAGATTACATTACAAAATTGATTGTTAAAAGTATATTACGTGTTTACATTACACAAATCAGATTATATAATTTGTATATTTCTGTCGTCATTACCCTTTAAAAGTATCTCCAATAAAACTTTTATAGGAGCTCTATTAATAGACGTCTCTTATTATCACAAATGAAAGTTTTATACAAAAGATTCTTACTTAAAATATGAACAATTAACATGATTACTTATTCCTTGTAACTGGTTGAAAGTACTATACTAATACACTATATCCAATACATCATTACTTATTACCCATAAAGTGTTTGTGAAAGTTCATTTTTGAAATTTTCTAATTTACACCATGAACTGTCAATAGTTATATAATCACTGATTGAAGTTGAACGTGTAAATCATTAGATACTGACTTAATGGTTAAAAGGATAGTATGAACTGATGAAGAGTTTCATAGTAAACTGAAACTAATATCTAACAATTCCTTATTTCAATTATTATCTAAGTAGATTCAATCTAATAATATAAACTATGATGCTATATTAACTCCATAGTCTTGCAGTGAACAAGGACACAAGTGGGAACAATCAAATGTATTTGAATATAAAATTATAGAATATTTTGGTAAAATCTAAGAACCATACAGTGAGTACTTGATTTACAAAATGTCAATCAATTGTCTTGTAGTGGCTGTGCTTCGTTGACCAATCACCCTCGTAACCATTACCATATGATCCTCAACGGTGTTTGAAATCAGAAGGTAAAGAGAAGCAGTGACTACAGTTTTACTAGCAGATAACTCAGACCACAAAGCAGTGAGGCGAATGAGTGAGTCAGCGAACCGAGAGTGTAGAGTGTAAATGTACATATATATATAGGGAAATGAATGGATCATCGAATCAACTAAGCAGCTAATAATAAAGCTAGCAGAATGAATATATACGTAGGCGGTAAGCAATGTTCAAGCATACATATTTCATAGAAGCACAGCAATAATAAAAATACAATAAGTTGTTATAGTACGGATGACTTTGTCTGCTAAATAAGTTAACAAAAGGGCTTAACTGAATTAAATGTGAACAAACTCAATTGCACATGAGTTGCTATAGTCTCAAAATTCATTATTCCTTCGTTTCGACACTAGTCATTCTTCGTTCTTGTTCTCATTTCTTTGATATTCTTAACCTCCTACCTCCAAGCATTTCACTTTCGATGGATAATACATACTACTTATATCTATCGACATCAGTAGCACACATACCACAGTTTGACTAACATCCCGTTTATCAATACTCCCCTTAACTCTATAAATTCATTGATCATTTATTGGTTTTTGTTTGAAATATGAATAAACGATTTCTTGTGTTTGATTGTTTGTTTTTTCAAAAAATTTTATCAACATTTATCATTGAACATATGAATGTATCGAGAGAAAAAAACAAAAAAACTTTTGTTGCGCGGGTAATATAAAATTTAAAATGGACAATAATGTCTCTTTGCTTTTCTTTTTTTTTTAGAAAAAAAAAACATAATTTGCATTGACACTTTATCCTAACTAACCCTTGAATAAGTTGTGAATGTATTTGACAATATAAAATAATGGGAATATTATAGTAAATTGATTAGGAAATCTGTATATGTATATGGATTTGACTTATCCTCTTTGTATATAGTTTACTTTAGTCTATTTATCTTTAAAGTGCCAGTTAGGATAAGATTGGTATTATAAATATATATATTTCTTTCCCTAAGTTTAGCTATCAGCCCTTTGGTTATTATTATTATTATTATTATTATTATTATTAGTAGTAGTAGTAGTAGTATTACTATTAGTATTAACGTTATTTTGATTGTACCAAACAATCTTTGCATACGTTAGTCAAATTGGTGAATTATGTCTACCTTTATACGTAAAGGAAGACAACAACAACACAATGCATTGTATCCAATGCATTTCCAATTCACACATTAAGGTATTTTCTCTAATTAAAAGCAATATTTAATCGGACTTATACAAATGATAAGTAGATAGATGGTTAGATAAATAGAATAGGTAGATAGATAAATAGATAGATAGATAGATAGATAAAGATATACAAAATTAGTGAGTAAGTGAGTAAGTGAGCAAGTAAATGATTATAAATGATGGGATATAGTTGTATATAATAAATGCTCAAGTTGTAAAGGGTGATAACGAATACTTTCTTCTGGTTGGTATACTTATATATATATATATGACAAAACTTAATGGTGTGATAATTTCAATTGAGGAGTGAACTATATGTACATTTGTTGTATATATTTAATGGATTATTATTATCATTATTATAACTATTACTAACATTATTATTACTATTTGAGATAGATTCTTAGTTGTGTTGGGCGGGGCAACCTAATGGAATAATTATTTATAGAATATGAGATATACATAAATATTTATAGGGAGTAAGAGAGAGAGAGAGAGAGGGAGAATACTCACAAGATTGATTGACTAAATTTTGCCTAACTTCTAATTGGTTAATTTTACTACTCTAATATTAACTATCCTAAATCTCTATTGTTCTAAAACTTATTAGAATACAAATATCGGGTGAATAAATGCACTAATGAATAACTTGTCGAACGATAATAGTAATCTGAATAATAATAATAATAATAATAGTACTGTTTTCTATTCTTTTATGGTGATATGAAAAATGAATTCGATAGAATACAATAATAATTCTAATAGTAATCTGTATATATATATATATTTGCGTTATGATCGGGGTGTGTCAAGTACTTATCAATGATTTGAGCTTATTTGGCGCCAATACCAGATGTATGTATGTATATACACACATATA